ATGCCCTTTCTTTTTCTTTTCTTTCTTTCTTTCTTTCTTTCTTTCTTTCTTATCAGAAATGCTACCATCTTCTGGTTCCATCTCTTTCGATCTGCTCATCCAATCTTCCTTTCCTTGCTTTTCCTTTCTCACAAATGTCCTTTTCTTATTCCTTCATCTCGTCATCCCCACCCACCTTCTTCTTCTTCTTCTTCTTCTTCTTCTTATTATTATTATTATTATAAATCAATTTTTGTTCCTGTTAGGTTTCAAAACAGACTCTGGTATCTGGAGATCTAGTGACATAAAATCTCAGTTCCTCTGGGCTTACGTCCAAATCACATTGGAACACCAGTTCCCATACGATCACCGAAGTTAAGCAACATCGAGGCTGATCAGTACTTAGATGAGTAACCGCTAGAGAATACTAGGTGCTGTAAGTTTAGATGTGCGGGTGGTGTAATAGATAATGACTTGGAATTGTTAATCGGAAAATCGAGTTCCAATTTCTGTCGGGTTCATTATATTTAATTGACGCGCGAATACGCTTGGGAAAGGTAAGAATCTACCTCTACTCCCCACAGTTATGGGTTAATTAGTAAAATCATTATTACATTATTTACATTATTCAGACTATTGTCCTCATCTTTGTCGCCATATTTATTACAACGTTTCAACCGTTGTACGCTCCGGCCTTCTTCAGATGGTTGGAATGTCGAACTGAACCCTTTATTTCGCTCATTGGGGTAGACTGTTCTAGTTCTACGTGCCGCGTTTAATGGATGTTCAGTTCGACATTCCAACCACCTGCAGAAAGCCGGAACATACAACGGCCGAAACGTTGTAATAAATATGGCGACAAAGATGAGGAGAATAGTCCGAATAATGTAAATAATGTACATAATACCTCATCTCAGAAATATAGACAAATCATTATTATCTTTAAAAAAATTTACAATATAAAAATATTTTCTGTCTTTAAATAAGCTGCAAAGAGTTGATAATCCAATCAAATCAAATCAAGACTTCTACTTTTAACAAGTTCCTATTTCTTCATTTTCATCTTCATTTTTTTTCCTAAAAAAAAAGAAAATCATGACTGACATAGTACCCGTCAAAAATGGTGTTATTATTTACTTGCGGATCGGCACTTTACCGGAGAATCAGAATATCCGGGCGCTTTACTTTAGATAAAAATACCCTTCCCTGGATCCTCTACCAAGGATCACAGTAGTATCTGTGAACTCTGTAAAAATAGAATATATACATATATATTCTTCTTTTAATGAGCCAAGTCAGGTCGTAAGTGTCCATAGCTCGCGATATCTTTTGTTGCTCGAAGTTATTTTTTACTGTTTGCCATCCCACTTGTTTTGCCACCCTTTCACGCAAGCCCGTTCGATACGTGTTTCTCCCTGCATCTCCTGCAATCAGTATGTCTTTGTGGGTGTTAAATTCTCCAGACTATCTTTCCTTATTATGTGTCATAGAAATTACATCTGTGTCAGAAGACAATAGGGAAGACAGTCAGCATGTGCCTTTTATGTTGTCATTTTCCATAAGACTTCCTCATTGATCACATTTTCAGTCTATGTTATTCTTAGCATTCGTCGGTTGAACTACATCTCTGTCGCTTCTTCTTTATCTACGAGAAAATTGTCCAGCATTCACTGTCTTATAGAAGGATTGATATTGCATCTCTCACCGGATTTTGATTCTGAAAGATATTTTCTTATACCTTAATACGATGCTTAATTTCTGGAAGCCATCTTTCACTAACTAATGCACAAATACACAGGCACGCAAAGAGGGAAAGAAAAAGACAGACAGAGAAAGACGACGAGGAGGCAGAGAGACACGTGTGTGTATGTACTAACATTATTTTTTATATAGGTTAATTCGTTTATTCTGTTGTATGCCTGTTTCCTTCTGGATCCTAATCATAGACTTAAGGTCAGAAATGGTTTCATGACATTTTCCGCCAATAATTATTGTAGACGCCATCCCACCAAAAAGAAAAAAATAAATAAAAAATAAAAAAATAAAAAGCTAAGAACACACACATTGTACATAGATAAAGCTCTTTGTAATGTGTGAGCTGTAGTTGTGATTACAAAATTTTGTATTTCTTTAAGGCATAGGCTGCCAGGAATCCCTTCAGTGAGTCGATCGGAACCTTTTCCAATCAATCCGAGGGCTCCAACTACAAATGGAATTATTGATGTCTTCATATGCCATATTTTTTAAATTTCCATTTCAAGCTCCTTGTATTTTGATAGATTTTGAAGATCTTCAAAGATACATAACAGTCTGCAAGGACTGCCATGTCAACAGGAAAGGCATTCTGTTCTTGTGGTCTTTGATCCCGATGTCTGGGTGATTAGCTTTGTTTGTCCTGTCTGTGTGTAAAGTCTCATAAAATTGTTACAGGCTCAATCTCCTCCTCCTCCTCCTTCTTCTTCTTCTTATAATGATGATGATGATGACGTCGCATCATCTTGCCAGAGAGTAATTTTAAGTTCCTAATTACTAAAACTCCCCCTCTGGGCTCTATGAGTAAAAAGGGTCACTGTAGGTGAGTTATCTATACCCATTTGTGGCGTTTCGTTTAGATAGAGAGAGAGAGAGAGAGTTTTGCGGATGATATGTGTAGCTTCGCACAAAGTAATCTTTTGATTGTTTTCTTTACATGTGGCACAAGGCCGAAGGTACAGAGCACCCAGTGAGAATCGAACTCGCTACACATCCGTAGTCATTGTATGTATTTTCATTTTTTGTGATTTCTGTCAGTTTTCTTTCCCACTTTTTGTTCAGCAGAGATCACGTGACATCTTCTTCGATGTGCCGTGTCCCTTCAGGACGTGGTCGATAATAGCTTTCCACCACCTCCTATACCTTGTAGCTCTTAGCAACGTTTGTCCATTTGCCAAGACTCCAATTTCATCATAAATTCACACAAGCTAGTCTGCTACCTTCCCATTTATTTTCAGTGTGACTTGTGAGTGTTAAATTCTCCAAGTTCTCTTTCTTCATTATGTGTTCAAGATATTTCAGCTATATCTTTCCAATTCTGAGAATAAGTTCCTTTTTTTTTTTTTTAATAATTGATTGATTTTTTGTTTTCGGCTTATTTTGTAAGCCAGAAAATATATTTAGCTTGTAAGAACTTTTTTTTTATAGATAATAACGATTTACCAATATATATCCTACTAATTAACCCATAGTTTCGGGGGCGAGAGCTGAAGTCATATATTTCCCAAGGGTATTTGCACGTAAGTGAATCGGAACTCGGATCTCCAATTTCAAACCATTTACGAATACATCACCCGCACATCCAAGGTATTCACAAGCGGTCACCTGTATATGTACTGAACAAGCTCGACGTTGCTTAACTTCATTTGCTTTTTCTGCTGCTTAGTCAGTCAGGAAGATTTTTTTTTCCCGCGGTAGTTTGCCATTTCTTTTTTGCGGTAGACCAGTTGCCATCCAAGGCTATAGAACCAGGTTTGTCCTGCTATTTACCCATAGCTGGGGGGGAAAAAGAGGATTCATGCCCAATTCCCAGGGGGTATTAGACTGGAATTTGAACACTGCTCTCCGGTTTCTCGATCCGAGCCGCTATCCATTACGCCACCGTGCCTAATATTCTCCCGCTGCTGTCTCGTAAACTCTCTTTTCTGAATTAATTAATATATTAAAAAACAACAAAAAAAACAACTCTTCTCTTTTCCTTTTGTCTTTTTATTTTCAATTATTCCCTAATTCTTTCTATACGGCTTCTTTTTCGATTTTAGACAATAACTTACCCCTGTTTCCCCTCCTCCTGGTCTGTTGTTTTCTGCTTCTACGCAACTCGTCTTAAATCAGTTTACACCATCTCTCTCTTAGTCTTAAAAAAATTCTCCCATTCCTGATTCCTCGTCCATTTTTCTGCTTCTCGCTTTGCTTTCATCCCTTCCTCTTTCAGGTAAAAACATCTGCAAATTTCCTTTCTCTGGAAGACATAACCTCCATCTGCGTTAGTCTTTTGTTTTTCCTTTCCTGCATCTCTTCCCAACCATTTGTAATAAAGAACGCTCCCTCGTTCTCCTATTTCTGTAGCGGTCAGTCTCGTCTCCTTTTCCCACTTCCAAACGCTCCCCTCACCCCCGCTTTCTCTTGACCCATCCCATTTCCCTTAATTTCTTATCTTCATTTACCCGCCATCTGACCAGACCTACATCTGGGTGACCACTCCATTACTTCTCTAGTGGTCAGTAGTAACTTCTGCCGTCTGTGTACTATCTGTCAATAATAGTGGTAAAAAGAGGAGATAGCGGTCAGATTTTGAACTGTGGCAGCTGGAAGAGGTGAAAGATGGCGGCATTTACATTACCAACCAATGGCTTCGTAGTAATGGCGTCCATCAACAGAGTAAGGTGTGGTATTACCGAACAGTACTGTTAATAAGTCATTTGAAATGCTGCTGTAGTTTTATTGCAACAATGAATGACTATTTTCAGAAGAAGGCTCGTCAACAGCAGTTACACAAAGAAATGATACAAAATAATCTATTTCTTTAATTATTGGCGTATAACATATAATGATTTGGTACATTTTTTTACAGTGTTTCATCCTGTACAAGGCCCGGGGGTCACTCGAAGGTTACGTTAAGGGGTAGTTTTATATAGATAGGAGAAGATAAACGTTGACTCTAGACTTGAACGGGTTAAGATTGTAGTGATCGGGGAAACATCCTCTTGGGAGTCATGGCAGTAGTTACTCCTAATTCTAAACAGTTTTTAGACACAGTTAAGCCTTTATGTTCCTAGCCATATTTAAAATATGGCGTGACATGACAAAAATAACTTGGCATTCAGGATAACGGCTTTAAGTTATTGTTGTATCCTTAATGAGGTTACAAACAGACAAAGGTGGTACTCGAGTGAAAGGAACAGCAACACGGGCGTAAATGAAAGAAGAGAGGTTTATTGTAAAAGAGAATAAACTACTGAAAGACAGGGAATCGGGTGGCAGGCTAGTAATTCTTGAGGCCTAAAGTCCCAGGTAAGCTCACTATATATAGCTAGTGATATAGTCAGTCGACATAGGCGATAGGGAGTTTAGGACATTCCATTACAACCGTCATTCGATGGGCGTTAGTAAACAGTGCCGATCAAAAGTAAATGTCGGTGAGACTGAAACTCACAGGCACAATATTCAAATCTATTTATTTGGAAAAATACCGTATAGTCTATTAGTTATTAGAAAGAAGGAATGGTACTTTAAATCTGTAGGAATAAAATTTAAATATTAAAAATATGACTTACTCATATTTTGGAGACCCTTTTAGAAAATCTTTATGTATACAAATATGAATTAAGCGGATAAATAAAAATGACAAATTCATTTTGTCATTGAAAACCCAGACGATACTCTGAATAACGGATGTTAATGTTTGTGAGCAGGCACCCCCCACCTAAACTTAAATTGACTTTGTAAGTAACATATATGTGATACATAAGTTGTCTAGGGAAATTAAAACCCAACCACCTCTAATCAAAATAGATTGAATTTTACTTAACCTCAACAACTCAAAATATTAAGATTGTCTGCGCTTATAAATTAAGTAAATTTCTTAGAAAGTTATTCCTAGCATCGCTTGACAATGGAACGAAACTCTGGATTTTAAGTTTAATTTTTATAATTAAATTTACAACTTCAGTTTTAGTTTTGAAACAGAAATTTCTGCGTCGCGATTGAATCATTTTTAAAAAGAAAATAATTACACACACACACACACACACACACACACACACACACACACACACACACACATATATATATATATATATATATATATATATATTAATCAATTTAGATCGATAATATCACTAAGACGCAAGTGGTTACTGGGAGTGAAAGAGAATGAGAAAAGATTAGAAGAAAGCGGTATCCTAAACAGAATGCAACGGATAAACCTCTACTCCTGTTCAAAAGAGGAGGGGGCGTGTCAACGGGAAGCTATACTTGAAATGTTCTATGAAATACACCACCACCTATCGGAAGGTGAGAAATGAAAAACTAAATAGTTAATTGTGAGATAAGTGAATTAAAAACAAAAGAATGACAAAAAACAATAACAGACTTTGATCGAGGCGAGTATGGAAGGAAGGAGTTAAGGCTTACAAAGGAAAAGAAAGAGAGTGAAGGAGAGTTAAAGTAGGAGAAAATAGCAAATTTAGTGAGGGGGGAATAAAAAGGATCTATAAAGGACAGGAGAGAGTATAGTGTGAAGACAAGAGTGAAAGGATAAAAGAAAAAGCGAAAAGGGGAAATGCTAAGAAGGAGAAAAATTTAAGAGAGGGAGAGAGAGAAAGGAAAGAGAGACAAAGGGAGAGGTGAAAAAAGCAAAGCGAAAGAGAAACAGAAGGGAGAAAGAGATGAGAAGAAAAAAGGAAAAAGAAAATGAGAGATTGAGAAAGAAAAGTGTAAGAGAAAGTGAGTGCGAAAGAGAGAGATGAAAAGAGTAATAAAAGAAGAAGAAATAGAGAGAGAGAGAGAGAGAGAGAGAGAGAGAGAGAGAGAGATAATAGAGGAAAAACCAACAGGAAGAGTGACAAGAAGAATAAGAGAAACAATGAGAGAATGAAAAATGAAAAAAATGGAAAGCGAAATAGAGTGAAAGTGAAGAAATTTCAAGAAGAAAAGATAAAGAAAAACTGAAGAAAAAGAGCAAAATTAAAAAAAAAAAAGAATGAATGAAAATTGACGGAAGGAGAAATTGAAGAGAAAGGAAAGAAAAAGTGTAGGAAAAAGGGAATAGAAAATGGAATTGAAGAGCAAGGAATGAAAAAGTAACGATAAAAAGATAAATGAAAGAGAAGGTGAAGATAAAGGAGAAAAGAAAGATAAAGATGAAAAGAGAAAAGAGAAAGGAAGGAAAGACAAAGAAAAAGAAAAGATCGAGAAAAAGAAAAGAAGGAAAAAAAGAAATAGAAAAAAAAAGAAAAAGAAAAGAAAGAAACAGAGAAGAAAAAAGTAAAGGAAAAAGCGCGGTTAAAAGAAAAGGAAAAGAATGAATAACATGGAAAAGAACGAAACATCGTATCTTGTCTTCTTAATTCATGTTCTTTTATTGTCCCCGCTCCTTAATAGTATCTTTTTCTCATTCTCTAACACTCTCTAACATTGCTTAGTGGCTTTATTGCCTTGCTTGGGGTGAAATAATTAAAAAAGTAGGGAGAGCAAGGATTATAGATGGAGAGCAAGGATTACAGATGGAGAGCAAAAAGAAAACAATCGCCAGGAGAGTCAACAATATAAACAAACAGCAGAATATAAAGAAGAATAGAAAAAGGAATGAAATTAATCTGCCATAATATCATGTTTTACGATCTGGAGAAGTGATGCTAAAATCTTGTTTTCTTTCATGGAATTGGTCGGATGGCGGCGTTTTCGGCTCGTTATAGTTTTTCGATGATCTTGTTTCTTCGCGAAACATGCAAACACAGGGACTCTTTCCAAAGAAAGAAATAAAATCAGAAGTCTACAGAACATAATGGATTCTTCTGGTTTATAGAGCAGGAGCAATAAAAAAATATCTAGTTTGAACGAGAGATCTTCCAACCGGCTTTGATAGCAAAATGCCCGTTCTGGATGAGAGCTAAAGGACAGACTGTAGCAATGTGAAAATGAGTTATGGTCGGGGATAGGGTAAAATACTCAATCCCGTCCGTGCCACTTCGTAACGCGAGACAGTAGATATTAAAACCGAATAATGGGATTTTCACGAAGAATGAGCCATTTTACATTGTCACTGTTTCTTTTACTTTCTCTTTCTCCTATACCCACCCCTACTTGCGCCTGGTTCAGTGGTGGAAGGGGGTATAAAGATGAAGAGAGATATTTATTATTTTTCCATTAGAAATACATATTTCTATTGTCTTTCCGTTTTATTTTGGAAAAAAAAATACTTATTATTTTCATTTCATATACGTCCTGGGTATGACGATTTACTACATCCGGTAGCAAGGCCCCTGATCAGGAAGTTTTGAGAAGCGTGGAACCAACTCTTAATTGCTAGTGTTCCCAGGTCCACCCTGACCCGGGGTGGGAGAACCTGTTATGGTCCCAGCAATGGACAAATAGTTAACCCTAAACTGGGGGTTAAAACAATGAAAGTATAAAAATAGGTTTTTATAGTAAAATACATTTTTTTAAGAAAAAAACAGTAATACGTGTTTGAAAAAAAAATACCAGTAATACATTTTTGGAAAAAATCTCTCTTAAAAAAAATACGTCAGTGAAACCTGTAAAAACAAACTGATTTCTTACAGAGAATACATATTCCATTCATACGAACCTATCCTAACAATCTTGTCGGGATTAAATAACCCATTGAGGTGTTGGTATGCCGTAAAACAAAATAAACCCAAACGATCATTTCATATAATATATATTTTTTTCTTTTGGCAGTATATATCCTGTTACAACAGCCACTTCCGAATCCACTTACTTCCTGTCCCAGGGTCTTTGTCACAAGTATTTCAGATGATTAAAAACGAGCTATAAATGAAGATGTACTCATCGTTATCGAACAGTGGTAAGGAAGTTAATCTTGCAGAATTAAAAAAATAATTGTTCATACAAGGCCTGAGGGCCATCCAAGGGAGAGAGTTACAGAATGAGGTTGTTGTATGAACATCGGAGGAGGAGGTAAGAAGTGCGGATTATGAGGATATTGTTGTGTATGATACACCTAATTTACATAAGCGGACTACCGACCATATAAATATGGGTTGGTACCGGAAGACGGGGAAGATAGTAGAGATTAAGAAATTGAATCCAGAGACTCTGCCCGACTGCGATTTAGTCAACCCATTATGCAGGAACAGTCTTCCCAAGAATATACCAAACTAACTGTAAATATTGTGTACCTATTCTTTGTTTCAATACATTTTGTTAACGTACATTTTGTGTTGTATTATTCCATGCTTATTTAAGCTTCAACAGATATAAAGTAAAGATAACGGTTGAATCTTGAAGAGGTTAAGATTGTAATGATTGGGGAAGCATACTCTCGGGAGCTTGTTTCACCATATCAGCGATTCTAGGGAAGAGGCTGCGCGATTCGAACGTCCTTTTTACCAACAGAATACGAAAAGAATGGGGATGATTTGTCCAAGAGTACTAAGTGGATCTTAGCTGTGAAGGTCTGAACTGGTGAAGCTCCCCTGGGATGAAA